TTATATACCTTTTAAAAGTGTTTTTTTTTTTTTTTTAAGTAATTTCGCCAAAAAAAAAAGATTCCATAATTTGAGAGTCTTAAACCACGAACAAAGTTTTATTTTAAATTATAAATAATGATAAATGATTCTTATTTTGTTCTAATTAACTTCTTATTTTGGAAAGTATTTGATGCTAATTTATCTCATTTACTTCATGATGCGTTCATTTAAAGATCTCGTTACTTTTAGGTACTAATTACAGAATATCAGATTCATCGATTACAAACTCACCACTTCTATACAAACAATAACGTTATATATATCTCAAGGATTATCTAAGCCTTAGAATGAACAAATGTCTTAAATTTGCAAAAATTATTAAATAATTTTAAAAATTACTGATATGGTGAAATAAACATCATTGAAATCAACTAAGTTTTTCTGAGTACAGACAATACATCGTAACAGCAATTTCTATTCTACAACAAGCGCTTTTCGTTTTCATAAAACTAAGCTTTTTTTCACCGCCATTTTTGCTAACAGTCATGAATGACTTTTATGAATTCACAACATACATGAAAATAGCTTTACTAAAAAAGTGGTATTTCGTTATAGTGACGATATATCATTCGAAAAAAAGCCTTACATTTGTCGTAGTTTTATCCAATTCTGATTTTACTGTTACTAAAATCGTGATTCAAGCCGCTCCTACACTCGCGGTTGCGAATTAGGTTTCCTGTGTCTATTTTAAAAGTAAAAAAAATATTGTTCGTTGCCGTAGGTGTTTTTCTTTTACATATTTTTTTTATTTTCGAATTTCTAAAATAAAAAGAGATTATAATCAAATGTCACATAATTTCTTTGTTGGTGTGAATTTTTTAAACGTGATATTTATAATTTTAAATATTAATAATAAGGATTCTCCTCTAATGTGATGTTTTTATGGTCTTTGTTTACCCATGGCTTTCGATAAAATATTATTTAGTTACTGGAAATATAAACCGGGAAAATCAAATTGTTTTGAAAATTTAATCACACAAGGCTTAAATTATTTATATATATATATATATATTTATTTATTTTTTATTTTTTTGCTGTTTCAACACCTCAAAAAATTTTAAACCAAAAAGGCTATATTCTATCATAGTAGCATTTTTCACAATAAAAGTACATTGTCATGTCAAAGTTTATTAAAAGCATTTAGAGATCTATTTTTTTTGATGAAACTAAAATATTATAAGTTAGCATTAGTGTTGTATAAAGAATAAGATATTGAAAAAAAATTACGGCCTCTGCATATTAATTGTAACTGCTATTAAATTCTATACACTTTTGTTAGAGAAATCTTATTATTTTGTAAAAGAGTCCAGAATCTCGTTTATGTTTGCTTGTATTTTTGCATATTTTGAATTTGAATTGCCTCGAAAGGCAATCAAATATTTGTCTACAAATCCTATCAAGATTCCATTATATATATATATATATATATATTTCAGTAAACACACAGG